CAGTATTAAATTGTTTGTTTAAAACTTATAGTGTGTGTGTGTGTGTGTGTGTGTGTGTGTGTGTGTACATGTTTAAAAATTCCCTAGAACCTAACCCCCTCATTTACATTAATTCTTATGGGGAAATTGGAGTCACTTAACATCGTTTTGCTTAAAGTCGCATTTTTCAGGAACATAACTACAACGTTAAGTGAGGAGTTACTGTAATTTTACCAAGTGTCCCGTATTCAGCATAGGGAAATATGGTCACCCTACTTAAAGTCCATTTCCAAAGTGGCCAGGTTGAAAAATGTTGGTACAGTTCAAGTAAACACATCGTCATGATTTGCAACACCTATAATGTTAATTTATATGGTGCAACATAAGTAGTTCTATGACTGAGGAACCAATTTTTTTCTTGACCACTTTATATTTTAACCCCCATACCTGTGGAAATTTCTATATAAAAATATTGTTAAACTGGAGATGTAGCTGAAGAGATGAAATTATCAGAAACATAAAGTAATAGAAACCGTAAGAGAACATCCATAGTTGGCATAATGTTTAGTCATCTTGGAAATTGTTTTGCCATTGTAGTCCACACTAAGTTGTTGTCTCATTACTTAGATGTTGGTAATGAGTAAGTTGGATTGTTGTAAAATTCTAGGTAGTCATCCTGAGAAATCAGCCTGAATGGAATTTTTTGGCACTTCTAACTTTCTAATCTGAAACGAATGCTTCTGTTTTTATCATAAAAGCAGGAGGCAAGAATAGAGTTGAAACTTTACTTGGAATTTCCTTCTTTAAAAAAATGAACATATACTCCTAAAGCAATTAAGATACGGCTATTTGTGTGATATTTTGGTTTGCCCCTTAGGAAACTATGAATGTTGCTTTAATAGATTCTGCAAAAAAGATTAGAAAAATATCTCTTATACTATTTCCATTATTCTTTCAAATATATATTGACAGAAAGTATCATAATATGGTTTGTGTTACAGGTGGTGTAATACCAAGGGCTGCACTGCTGCCACATCACAATTTTGTGAGGTTTCAGAGAGTAGTTCTGGTAAGGACACTCAATGATTTATATATTTATTTTTTAAATAGAGGTGGACTATTATTTTGACATAAACTGGTATCAGACTTTATATGCATTCACCTTATTGGTTAGGTATTAATTTTTGCAGTCTGCTGAGTTTTTACATTATGTATTATTTTGATAGTTTTTAACAGTTCCTTTGGAGCTGTTATGTTCTAATGTATAAATCCATATTCGTCTCCTTGAGAGCCGTTCTAATATAACACATCAATTCATAGTATGGAAATGTTATTAAATAGACCTTTGACAAAACAACTTGCAGCAGCTGTATTGTTTCCCTGAAGTATGGAGCTATTATCATCTTAATATGGATCAACTTTGTACTTTTTTTTAATGTTTCATACACAAGATATTGCACATGGGCTGAAGGATGTGTATTTGAAGTGTTAAAACTTTGGCTGGTTAAAAAAAAAAGCACTTCGGTGGTCATATTTACTCAGACAAATTGTACCATTACTAGTCCTCTTTTTTCCCTGATTCTAATGTACTACAATAATGTTTTTGTTTTGATTTTTAAAAAAAATATATGTATATAAATGAATTCCCCCTCTGGTCTCTCTTGACCTCTTGAATTTTTCTTTAACCTGCTTCTCTTATCTTTAGTCTATTGTCTGTTTCATGGTCAGAACCATAATAGAGATGAGATTACCTCACATTTTAAAAAAAGGGAAGATTATTTTCTCAACTGTATACCCACAGCAATGTTCATGTACTGTGTGAGAGCACAATTGTGCCTCTTCTTGCAGCAGCAGGTAACTGATACTGTACTTGTATCTGTGGAATTTTTAATATATGCTGTAACTTAACAAACGTCTTGTGGGTGTAGCAGACTTCTTTTCCCCACCATTCATTACAGTTTAGAGTAACCGTTCATTGTGAAGAATCACACGTCTATAGAGGACACTCAAAGACAGAGGTTGATTGTTTCAACAAGCCACCTCAAGTGTACAGAGGAACAGAACAGAGAGGAGGATCTCCCTGACTTCAAGTGTCGATCCCACAAGTGTCTGCTTACTTTAGCCCCAGTCCAGCAAAACACTTGAGCAATTGAAGTCAGTGGGGCTACTACCGTGCTTTCATTGAAAATTCCAAATGTGATCACCTATTCTTTGTGGTTTAAAAAAAAGAGAGAGAGAGAGAGAAAAGAGGGGGGAGGTAGGAAGATCTTCAGGTTTGGGAGTAGGGTTTGTTGGCACCGGGCAGTGCTGAGGCCCTCAGCTAGGAAAGGGGCATCCATTTGTAGATTTATGCTGGTAAGAATAAAGAGGGAAGCAATTTTCCTTGTTATCACTGGATTGTGCATACAAGCATGCCTTTAAAATTTGAACATGCTTGTGTGCATGTCTGTTTTTCAACATGCAGTTATGTTTACTAGAGTATGGAATATATACACAGATGCACAAGCATAGATAATAATACACACTTCTGCACTCTGATTTCTGTGTTTCGGGGAGGTGGAAAGACATGCCCTTCAGACTTATGTAAAAGAAAAGTGGAATAATTAATGCTTAAGTAACATTAATCAGCTATTCTTTTTCTTTATCATCCTGCACCCTCAGGTGCATAGGACCGCCGCTAGCTTCTGCTGTTTATTTCGGTGTTGTGCTGGTCTGTTCAGGTTTCTGTCATGTTGATGGATTTAGCTTCTTTCTTTATTGTTCTGCATAATGTTTCTCTAGGTCGCCCTCTTTTTCTCTTTCCAGGTGGTGTACATACTATTACTTGCTAAGGAAGTTGTGTTAGTAACATCCTTAAAGCATATCCTAAATTGTCATATCTTACCATATTTGATGTTTTAGATTGGCTTGGTTTACTTAAAATTTCTGATGTTGAAAGAAGCACTTTCGAATGGACTCTGAAGATCTACTGCGGGCATTTATTTTGAAATGAATTGGTCTTCTCAATTTCTGTTGTAAACTTCAGTAACTGTTCCATAAAGGGGGACAGGATGCTGGTGTTAAAAATTCATATTTTAAGTCCATGCCAATCAAGCTACTTTTCCAAATCTTTTCAAGTTTATGAAAGCTGTTTGCTGTTTTTGATATTTGTTGTTTGACATCTAGCATGGTGTCACCGTCCTTGCACATCTCACTCCCTATATAAGTAAAATGACTGACTTATTTTAGTGTTTCTTCCTCCACTCTAAGGATTACTTTTGGAACACCGATTGCCATATATTTTTTCTTCCCCTTGTTGATAAACATACCAACTTGTTTTGCTGCATCTCCCTAAAGCTTTTCTTCCATTAAGTGATATGTTGAATAAGGAGGACAGTGTCCTCACCAAAAACAAGGTAATTCAGTTGTGCTTTGTCATTTGTCCATAAAATTCCTTGGTTGCTTTCTGCAGTTACTTTTCTCATAACAGTCAGTGACCAGTGCAAACAATAGTGGGGATATAATACACCCTTGCCTTGCTCCAGTAATCACTTCAAACCATTGACTGATGTTGTCACCATCTCCGACTACACATTCAGCATTATATAGATCTTTGGTGATTCTGATTATTTTTGCTGGTTTTTCATAGAATGCTATAATTTTCTAAAGACTCTCTCTGTGTACTCTGTCAAAAGCCTTCTGGAAATCTATAAAATTTATCACAAGAGGTGCTTGCCACACCTCACTTAATTATATAATTCATCTGAGAACAACAGCATGGTCTGCACTTGATCTCAAGGTCTAAAACCTGGATGTTCCTTCCAAGTTGAAGATCAGGTTGTTTCTTGATATCTTCCAGGATGATGTTGCCCATGATTTTTCCAGGTACTGAGAGTAATGTGATTCCCCTTCAGTTATTGCAATTGGTAAGATCACCCTTCTTTGGCAATTTCATTATAAAGCCTCTCTTCCAGCTCTGTTGGGTTCTTTTCTTCATTACATATTCTACCCCAAAACACAAGGAAAGTCTGGAGGACTATTGTATCTCTCATTTAAAGTATCTATTCAGTAATGTTATCTGCTTTCCCATTTTTGCATTTACTGATGGCTTTTCTAACTCTTTTTTCCATTATTCTATCTCCTGAATCAATATCAAGCTCTAGCGGTAGGTCTTCATCATGTATTTCTAGTAGTTTGCTTGGGCTTGGTCTATTTAAAACAGCCTGAAAATGTTCTGCCCATTTTTTCCTGTGTTCTTCTATACTAAGAGTCTTTTCATTTGCATCTTTAATAGGGCCTCCAGCACTGCTAAAGTTTCCTGTTAGCTGTTCAGTTATCTTATACAAGGTTGTAAGGTCATGTCTTGAGCAAGCATCTTCAGGCTCTTGATGTTTTTTTAATCAATATATGGCTTTTTAGCTTTTCTAGTGTTCCTTTTTACCTGTCTATCCGATCTTCTGTATGCTTCTTACCACATGCATTCTCTTAGCCTGCATGAGTTTTTTGCTTTAGACTTCTCTTTTTCACTGTTGCCCAAGTAGCATTGCTAATCCATTCTTCCGTTTTAGATTTCATTGTTGTTGGAATCATCTTAGCTCTTTTTAGATAGCAGTCTTTGATGTTTTCCCACAGAATATCAGTGTCTTAGTTTTCTTCAGTTAACTCTATTAGAACACTGAACCTGTTCTTCAGTTCAAGTTGAAAAGCACTTTTTGTGTTTGGGTCTTTTAATGGTGCACTGTTGATGTGAGGTCTTCTTTTAACCTTTTCATTCTATTTAACTTGATATTCAACTTCGTGATAAAAAGACTGTGGTCACTGCCCACATCTGTTCGCCTGTACCCACATACATCTGCTAATGAGCTGCAAAACATTACTGAAATGCATAAGTTTTCTGTCTGGTTCTTTGTAGTACCGTCTGGGGAATTCCATATCACCTTATGGATTTCATTATGAGGAAATACTGTTCTACCTATCACGGTGTTGTTTACATTGCAAATTTCTAATAACCGTACACCATTTTGGTTCATGTCCAAATCCTTACTGCACTTGACCATAACTTTATCCAACCCATCGTTGTTACTGCCAAAATTTGCGCTAAAATCGCCTATAGTCACTAGGATATCATGTTTTGGGACCTGAATTAACACATCCTATAAAAAATCCTAAAAAGAATGTTACTCCTCTGGCTTTTTGTTCCCTGGTGCATAGAAGACCGATTTTGGGGTCTTTTTCTTATATAGGCTCCTATTACCTAAAATCGGGACATCTGGTCACCCTAGCATTGTATGACTGTTAGTTTGAAGACGCTAGTCTGAAAGTGAGCTCTAATAATTCTTTCATTGACTGATTCCCACTTAGTCAGTGCCTGCTCTGCTTCATTCACCATTAGGATTGCTATGCTAGCGTCATGTCTACTACCGATGTTCAGGTGTAGATGATGTCTTATTTGTTTCTCTAAAGTGTTGTTTGTATGAACCTGCCCATCTACCCTTGCTGATTCCAAGGACATCAAGATGGTATCTATCCATTTCTTTAATTACTTGAGCAGTTTTAATAGCTTCATACACTGTTCTCAGATTCCAAAATCTGATTTTTATTACTGACCTGGCCTTGAGCAACAGGAGTTTTCAGGACATGGATTTCCTTATGGGTTTGGGCAATGTCCATCATATTCTTCAATTGAAGTTGATCTCGTGTTCAAGCCTGCTGCATACCAATATGGCTCCGGTAGTAAGTTTTCTGTGGTACATTTGTTTTTACGAGATTACCAGCCCTAAGTACAACCTAAGGTCCACGGCTCCTTATTCATTATTCAGAGCTGCCCACATGTGGACACTCCCCATCCACCACCTGGGGGTTGTGCTTGGTAGCTTTGGATGCCCCCAGATCAATCAGCTATAAGGAAATTCTGAAAGACATTCACATTGTAAGTATATAAACTAATTGCAGGTAAAGATGTCGGGAAGTCATTGGGATCAAAGAAATACAGTTTTGAGAATCTGTAAAAATGATTTAAGTGCTGTGAGCAGTATTTATTAGGGTATAATGAAATCTCGAAAAGTTAGTGGGCTTTCCCACCCCCACCCC